GTAGGACAGCTTTGTGTTTCCTTGTTACCATCTCGATATATCTTCTGTGCCGTGTGATATCACCCTCCTATCTTCCACTACCATCCTGTTCCGTATGCTCACCAACTCACTGGGGTTCATTTCATCCTTTGTCCTAATACTACCATTCATACGTTTTTACTTAATTCGAATTATATAAAAACAGTTATCTAACAGTACGTTCTCTGTTGTCTATTATCGTCTCGCTCCCAGGTGACCAGGCAGAGGACAAAGTGAGGGCATCGTATGAGCAAGGACTTTTCGATCAAGTGCGTTCCACATTTCACATGGTCCATATTTCACCTGCCGTAAATTGATTAATATTTTCTTATTAGCCCACTAAAACCAGGCCAATTGATTTCCTGACTTCAGTATACTAGCAACATTAAATCGACTTAATATAAAGTAACTTCTCCCGATTGATTTCTCGTACCTGTTTCTATCGACTATCAGCTCAGATTTGCTTGTCATCCCGAGAGTAACATTGCCCGCATGCAGCTACTGAATACTAGGACAACAAACACCGAAACCACTGATTTGATAAAACAAAAGTAACTTTGAGAATATTGGACATAACTTTTTTGAAGTGTAATCAGTCTAATGAGTTTCGAAAGTGGGCATTATGCCAAAACTTGGTCGAACAAGTTCCAATCCTCAAATTGACGTCTGCGCCTTCTAGTGTCAGTACCAATGCAGAAGCTGGAGGTTCCGATAGCGCTATGATTCTTCGCTAGAGAGCGCACTCCAAATTTTATAAACTCGATACAGAAAAATAAGGCACCGTCTAACTGTGGTAGATACTTGGGTCTATCTGTAGTCGCCAGCATGATGAGTCCTTTTCCCTTTGACTCAGACGGCCTTTCTCCCGTGCCGTTTGCTGTAGTACGTCGTTTATCGTGGCAAGTTGGGTACCGTCGTTCATGAGACAACGATTTATCATCTTTTCCTCGGAAGAGTTAGTCAGTGTTGTAACACCTGTTACATACACGGCGTTGGAGGCGTACGGCCTGACACAGTGGTACGATTGAACAGAACGCACCCTGAATAGTAACAAAGATAATGGCAGTTTTTAGAAGTTCGGTAATCACGTGATTCCTGTGGTCACTCGCTTCACCATATTTTTTTTCAGCTGTATATCCTTTAGTGGCTATTGCGTCTGTAATCCTTCCAACTGACAATGTCGTACTAGAACAGTCAAGTCAGAACTATACTACTGTGATAGGTTCTTCTATTGGCTGTACAGTTTAGGGGGACAATTCACGGAAAATGTGGGTCGATGGCTTCCTCTTGAGGAATGAATTAGTCCTTTGAGTAATAAGAAATTCCAATTTTTCTGATCCTGGGGAGTTCGGGGGAATTGCAGTTGCAAAAAATTCCTTCCCTCTGGAGCCGTCTCAATGGAAGGAGGTTTCCCTTTGGGAGTGTTCTCCGGGAAAGGACCACTGTAGTATGATCTAAAACGAGGTTCCCTTAAGTCTATCGGTGGTTCAAGCTCAATTTTTGGTTTCTTGGGGTGTTTTGGGGGGACATTTGACAAAACACCAATCATCCAAGAAGTATTTTTGATTTTGTGGGATTGATGATTGTGAGATATTCACTCGAATTAGTTATCCGGTCTTATGCTACATTCTGAGAATTTAAAGTTCACTCGCCCAACCATTTACAGAGAGTTATGACAACAAATTTATTAGACGAGATAGTGAGACTAACATCAATAACTGATCATTTGTCTTCTCCAGTGTCACCTCTTTGCAACCAATTACTTTGATTCCACAACTCGGTTTCGATAAGGTTTGGAACCACCCGCAAACTGCCTGGGCAAAACTACTCTCAGTGGAATGCATATCCCCCGGTCTCCTCGCCATGCTGTCATAGATAACTTACATTTGTTATTTGATGGGTCGGCGCAGGTGCCCTTAACCTACACATTGCACAACTAAATGACCATCGGGTAAAGAGAATCCTTTTCACGCTAGGGCGCTTCCAACTCAAGATCCAAACAACCGTCTCGTTCACGATGCACTGGAACTGAATGTTCATTACAAAGCTGTCCGTAGGTTCAATTGGGCCAATGTTCAAGCTGTTGGAGTATTGTTCCACGTTTGTGGACTTCCTGTCACGGACGGTCAGTTGGATTCATTTACCAACATTGGTGGTCTTTAAGCTCCACGGGAAGAGTGACAAATGGCTTAGCATTTCAGTCACTGGCTCTAAGAGGGCCGGGACAGTAATAAGCCACGGATGGCTGTTTGATGATATAGCCCCGTCGACAATATTCAGTATCGGCTTCACTTCAGTCAACCTAGTTTAGCTTCGCTGGCGCACGTCACATCGCACTACACGTAATTTGAAACAGGATCTTTGCACTGACATTAGCTTACGAGTACTGATTTGTTGTCCTCATAAAACAGGCGTTATCACTGACCCGAACCTCAACAACACGTTCTGGATTAACTAAAAATAGGGGAACTGCTTGTTACCGTGAGTGGTTTTCGAGCAAGTAGTCTTGCCAAAAGTTGTGAGCAGGCCAGCGAAAGAGGATGATATGCCGTCCAACCACAGGAACCATGTTATTGGTAAGAATGTTTCCAGCTGCTTCCACAGTGCAACTCGCAATAAGGAGGTAATATCGTGGCAGGATATCATTGGTGAGTGTTTAGAATCTGTTCTGGAATGAGGTTCGTCCACATCCTGTGGAATTTACCCACTTTTGGTGCGTGGACGTTAATGTTCCGCGTCTGGATTGAACCACTCGGTCCTGTAAAATGTCCGAGCGATTTTCAGGCAACCGGGCTGTAATATTTTGATGGCCCTTCAACACAAGGGGATCTGACCAACTCGTTCATAAAAAATTGGATGGACACCTGACCGGCCATGGAAAGTGATCGGTAGTGGATTGAACTTCAGTGCCATAAATCCAAATCCTTGCTTGTGTTTGGTCCTGTTTAGAGAACGGGTGGCTGATCAGGTTTATCTCACTTCGAACCAACCCATTTGCCGCAGTTGCATGTAACGCAATGTAAAGGATGGTACCATTTTCGGTGGAGTTTGAGACATCAACTTTTCGAGCTCATCCGATGAGTCGTAGAATGAGTAATGTACAGCTGGAGCCGTACCGATTGAACCGCGATATATTTTTTAACCTTTTGATGAACTTCTCTATAACTTTCCATACAGTCTTCAGCATAGAAATAAAATCATCCGAGTGTTTTTGACTATCTATTGACTGTGTACTTATCACGCAACGAAGCACCTCCTCATATTTGGATCTGATTCAACTTTTTGACTGTGTAAGCTACATGTTCGATTGAAGAGCATCATAATAGGGAAGGTAAGCTCATTTTAGTCTCCCTTTGACTCCCCTTATGAAATCCCGAGTGATTTCAACTCATTTGCAAATCAATTTTGTTTTCACAGTAGACTCAAGTGAATCTCTCGTTTATGATATTCTTCAACTGAATGCATACAGGCCGCCTCATGTTTCAGTTGGTGCGTTATTCGAGTTATCGCAATATATTTTCATAAGGGAAACTACCCACACGATTACTGAAATTTCTTCGACTCTTTCGGGTGATTTATTCATCTCATATTCTTTTCTCCATACGAAGCCTTCTCCTGCTAGTTTGAGTCCATCGATGCAACGTAGAACACCAGCTGGCGGAAAACCTACCGAGAAACCTGTTCCTTCTCCAGCTACGAAAATTCCCGAGGCTGGTCCCTCAAAAGGTGTACCACAGCGACAATCTCCAGCCACCTCGAAACTCACCACAGGAACACCGGACGTACCAAAACCGTCTATTCCAACTTCACCGGCACCGTCAATTGCCACAGGTGCTAGCGAACCTCAGAAAATTAGTGCACCACAACCCAGCTCGATAGCATCCGTTCCGACTTCTGAGATGTCGGCTTTCAGTCCCTCAGTCTCTGCTGGTGGGAAACACTCACCAGACACTGAACTGGAGCTGACCAACTTACGGGCCGAAATTCAAACTCTGACTGAGCAGGTGGAAGCTCTACGAGCCAAACGCGAGGAAGATCGGCAGCGGCTGCAGGAGATGGAGCGCATGAAAATTCAGTTCACACAGTTGGAGGAGAATCGCCGTCTCATGAGAGAGCAGGCAGCGGAACTGCAGCGCAACTTGGCCCAAATTAAAACGGTTGGTTGCTTTGTCAGTGTCGTTGAACATGTCGACTATTTTGGGCACTATTCTGATTGACTGCCTCACCGGTTTGTTGTATCCATTTCACTCGTTCCGACCCCAATTGATAATGCTCAGGCATCGCGCTGGTTTGAGTTATGTATTTTCTCTACCAGAGTTATTTGATTGTTGCATGAACACTGGTGAATTTCTCGTGCCGTTCAGCAGCATATCCTACTCCTATCTGTCGGTCCTTACTTCTGTTTGGACGAGATCGATTCAGCCATTCTGACCGGCCTGGGGTGAATTGAGTCATATATGCACCGGTTCGCGCATTATTCACCCAGGGAAGAAGGCAAGAGCTCAAGTAATAAGCAGATGTGCAATTGCGTTTCATGACCAAATCGTGCAAGTTTCGTTCGCCTATCTTTATTGCATCCAATTCTCTTGTCATTGGGAAATGAGGATCACTTTCGACTTGCGAAATCCGCTTGATTCTTGTATGAAGAGCTTGCAGCATAGACTTCCTTTTCGGATACGAAGATCGGAGGGGGGGGGGGAAGATTAACAGAAGCCGAACCGAACCCCGCCACATTATTGCTATTTTGGGCTGGGACTCACGAGTCTCTAAATTTCTTTGTTGATGACTCGGTGTTGTCTGGACTTTATATGCTGCTATTCCACCCAGAAATATTCACTTAGAACTATCAATATCAGTGATGGTTTGCCGTTTTTAGGAATCTTTTACCACTGAAAACTTTCGCGATGATATCAGTTTTTATAACGATAGTCTAGGTCTAGCCGACGTTAGGTATTCCGGTTCGACCGTTGGGTCTGTCGTTGTAATGCGGTGGTAGCCACCACCATCGCAATTGGTCCTAGTACACAGAAACCCCAGCATTGCACTGCCCGCTAACAGGTTATGTAATCCACTTTATTTTTTAACGTCTCTCGGTCAGGTTGGGCCTACAAACACTGTTTAGTCACGTCGTTATTTCGCCGGATGATGTAGAGGACGTGGTCTCTGAAACTCTTGAGGTTCACACTTACCGATGGTCTTAGTTGATGTTGCTTTTCACCGTTTGCTGAAAAATGATAAGAAATAATTTTCTGCTCCGTTGCTTTGAGTAAAATTATGGAAAAGCACCTTTGATGAAAGCGTATTGTCAGCGTATTGCTGAAATTTACTTGACGTTCTGTTACTTTTTATTATCTCACTAGGAAAAGGCCGAGGTTCAAGAAGCTTTTGATCGATATCGGGAAGAGATGTCGGACCTAGTGGAGAATATGGAAATGGCCACATTAGATAAAGAAATGGCTGAAGAAAAATTGGACTCGCTTAAGAGTGAATTGGAGGCGCTGAAGGAGCAAGTAGAGGAGCTCACACTGGAGAATCAGATTCTTAAAGAGGAGTCTGAAGTCAAGGGTATGTCCGATTTTTTCTAGATGGATGTTTCCGCTAATTAGTGAGTTGCACAGCCTCGTGTGTTTTTTTTTGGGGGGGGGGGGGGGCAGAAAACATCTACCGCAATGAAACAGAGACATCTTATCCTTCAAAACTAGTTTATCAAAAC